TTTGATGCTAATGGAGACCCTGTGGCTTTTTATGAGCTGGTAAACTGGCAGAAAAGTGAGAGTGGAGTTATTGAACTGGTAACAGTGGGATATTATGATGCTTCACTGCCAAGAGGTCAGGAGTTTCGTATCAACAAGAACTTAACCTGGGTGGAAGGAGGCAGACAAGTAATATCCCAAAACAGTAATTTCTTAGATTAGGAAGTTGAAAAAGGATTTGTGAAATATGTTTTCAAAAAAAGTTCAAAAACTGTAATTTTCCTGTCTTTTTCCATGGCAGGTTCCAGTCTCCGTTTGCTCAGAGAGTTGTCCTCCAGGAACTCGCAAAGTGTTGCAGAAAGGAAAACCAATCTGCTGCTACGACTGTATACCATGTCCTGAAGGAGAGATCAGTAATATGACAGGTAGAATCTAATATGTTTCATATGAATCCATATCTACAAAATCCATAAACTAAGGATTGTTTTTCAACGTTATAATTTTTGTTAGATTCTCCTGACTGCTTCCCATGCCCCAGAGAGTTCTGGCCAAATTCAAACAGAGATGCTTGTTTCCACAAACCTGTGGAGTTTCTTTCCTTTAACGAAGTCCTGTCAATCATCCTGGCTACACTCTCCATCAGTGGAGCATCTCTGGCCATAATTACATCATTAATTTTCTTCCATCACAGAACAACACCAATTGTCAGAGCCAACAACTCTGAGCTGAGCTTCCTACTGCTCTTCTCTCTGACTCTGTGTTTCTTATGTTCACTAACTTTCATTGGAGCCCCCTCTGAGTGGTCCTGCATGCTGCGGCACACAGCGTTTGGCATCACATTTGTTCTCTGTATCTCCTGTGTTCTTGGCAAAACTATAGTGGTTCTAATGGCCTTTAAAGCTACACTTCCTGGTAGTAATGCAATGAAATGGTTTGGTCCTCCACAACAAAGGATGACTGTAGTGAGTCTGACTTTAATTCAGATTATTATATGTATCATATGGTTGGTTGTGAGTCCTCCCTTCCCAGTGAAAAATCTGAGCACCTACAAGGAGAAGATCATCCTGGAATGTGCGTTAGGCTCTGCTGTTGGTTTCTGGGCTGTGCTCGGCTACATCGGCCTGCTGGCTGTGTTTTGCTTTGTGTTAGCTGTTCTAGCTCGGAAACTACCTGAT